TCCAGCCCCGGGGCAGCGGCTGCGGAGCCCCCGTGCTCCAGGCTCCTGCCTTGGGGCGCTCCGCTGTGGGATCCACCCGCGCGTCTCGAGCTTCCCTGGAGGGCGCCGGGCTGGACAGCCCCCGGGGAGCGGAGTCGTGCAGCCCCTGCCTCGCCTGCTCTTTGCTCTGCTACCCTGGGAAGGAAACTCCAAAAGATCATTGGAGAAAACCGAGCCGCGCCGAGAGCACGGTGCTCCCCGCAGCGCAGCGCAGCGCAGCACAGCACATGCGAGGACAGCCGGGGTGGGCGGCTGCCAGCCCCTCGTTTTTCAGGTGACGGGAAGGGCCCAAGGCCCCCCATTCTTGCATGGTTTTGAGCCACGTTGAATAGGACCTGTCTGCACTCTGCAACTACCAGTACCTGCTAAACTGCACCATCGCTTTACTCTGGGGTACAAGATACCACCTGGCACTAGGTTTTCACATACCCTTGGTTAAACCCACATATCACACCCTTTTCCCATGTAATTGCTGACAGTCCATACAGTAGCCAGCCACTGCCCCATACCACAGGGGGCAACATTTTTGGCAGGTATGCCACAAATTAGCCCCGCATGCTCCCCTAGTGCTGCTCCAATCCCCTACCGTGCCTGATCTGCTGCTCTGCCTTCTGCTTCCTGCCCTGTGCTCCCTGTTCCTGTGAGACCCCGACTCCATGCGGTGCCCAACGACTAGGGAGACAGGGTGGATCCAGTTGCTCAGAGAGCAAGCAGGGAGCAAACACCAGCACGCATTGCACGACAACAGCTTTATTCAGAATGGAGACAGCTTCGGGGGAGCTCCCAAAAAATACTGGGGAGCTGCAGTAAAGATTAGTTCTTTTCACATTTATACCCCTTGGTTTTTACTCATTAACATTTCCTCCCCCTTTGCCCCTCCTTTGTTCCCCCCACATCTCTTCCTATCTCAAGCTCTGCCTCTGTCTACAGTTTACTTCATTAGCATAAGATTGCCTATGCATTTCATTTATTTACATACCTTTTTGCTATGAGCTCATGCATAAGAGTGAACTCGGCTTCTCTCGGTCAATTGCTGTTTCTTGCAGACTTCTGCTTCATCTCCAAGGTCTTGCTTCGGCTTTATCTCCTGACAATAGCTGGTGAGCTGCATCTTATTTCCTTACACCATGAACTTACAATGCTATGACATTGTTAGAAAACTGCTTGCCTAAGCATCTGCAGTGTTACTTTTAATATATCATTCTGCCTTGTGGTCTGCAGCTTTGCTGAGACAGAAAGAAGCCTTTATTCAGCTGCAAATCCAGCGCTCCCAAAGATCCAAATAGTGTCACCCTAGCAGTTCTCTCTGCAGCGCTGCCTTCTGCTTCCTGCCCTTGTCCCCTCCCTGATCTGCTGCATGCTCTGCATAGAGGCTGTCCATGCCACATAGGGCACACCTATCACAAATTGGCCACCCCAACCATACAATGGAGTGGTGAAAGGAGGCATGTTGGATCACTCACTGTATACATATACCCCTTTCCTTTGATCACACACAGAGATTAAGGGGAGAAGGTCTCACCCCCTTCCCAACCCAGAAGACAGTTTTCCCATCACACTCCACATTATAATTACAGCACTCCCAAGGCAGTTACAATTAACACACTGAATACTGCTGGAGTGCATGCAGATAATTTCCAGTGCACATTGCCCACCCCAAAGTGCAGAGTTACAGTTGTGTTGGCATGTACTTTAAATTGGTATTATTTTATTTTCAGAAATCGGAGTCTATGTTCTGGAGAGAGAGGACAGGGATTCCCAACCTTTTTATGCAAAGGTCCGGCAAACAGTGGACCAGAAATGGCTCAGTATAAAAAAGGGTTGTCTGCCTGTCTGCAGTATGCTGGTCCTTTCCAGTCCACAGTTTGCCAGTCCATGGTCACTTCTGGTCTGGCAGCCAACCCTCCTATAGACCAGCAGCCAACCCTTAACGGTCCGGCACCGGCCCACAGCCCACGGTGTTGGGAACCCCTGAGATAGGAGATACCACTGGATTACTTAGCCCTCCTTCACTGAGGGCTAAGCTACCACATTTAAATTCCATTTACCACAGGGTAAGGCTGTTTACATGTGCCATTATTGCTGTTGTGGAAACACACGCAGCATACTTTTGGGTCAGGTCAGCAGAAGCTTTTATTTAAAAGAAACTACAGCTGTAGGGGGGACTCCAAAGTGACATGGATTTCGCAAGCACTTGGAAGGGGTCCCCCCCAAGAGCAAAATCAGGAGGCTTATATACTTTTTAACAGTTGCTTACAACTCACGTGATCATATAGTGAAATTAGCATGAAAAGCGGCTATAATATTACTTCATTATTTCTTTGCTGTAATCAGGATGGGAACTAATGGGGGAGGCGAGGTTAGTTCACAAACCTCCTTCTTGCACCTGCAAATCAGAGTTGTACATACTTTTTGCTATCTTCAAGGCCGCGGTGAGCGAAGCAGTTGCAGAGGAGTTACAAAGAACAAACACTTTCTCTTATCTGTTCTACTATACAGAGCCAGCAATTCTCCACAAAGCGGTTATGTCATCTTATAACTAAAATAGTCAAAGTTTAAGGCATATATTTTTTCTGATTCCACAACTATATGCAGCAAAACAGCACATTTCTGATTTTTATTAAATCTTGGAGCAGTGAGAAGTTGTCATCTGCCCCAGCTCTCTTGAAGCCACATATTTGCTCCCTAAATTCTGGATTGTGTCAAAAATCTCTCGCCTCTGTTGTTAGCCTGAAACCAGATGAAGCTTTTGAATTTCTTGAGGAGAGGAAAGCTAATTCTAGGCAAAGATATGAAGAAGAGACAGGTCCAACAGCCAAGAGAGCCCGATAGAGCAACACTCAAGCAACATTGGAACCTAATGTGCAGGAGAAAAATGACATACTTGAAGCTACTGCTAAATGTTTTGAAAGAGATGAACTGCTGCCATTCACTGAGTCTACGCATATTGAACTTAAAAGCTTTGCAACAAAGAATGTCTTGAAATATGTTAAAAGCACTCTTCCAAACTATGTATCTGCATTTGCAAACACACAAGGCTATTTAATTATTGGAGTGGATGATAAGAGGACAGTGTGATTGGATGTCAAGAGGATATGAATGTTGACAGGTTACGGATGGAAGTAATTCATGGCATCGAAATTCATGGCATCGGGAATTTGCCTATCTATCATTTCTGCAAAGCAGGGGGAAAAACGAAATATGAAATCAAAATCTTGGACGTATATGATGCATCTAGAAAAAAATATGGTTAAGTTTGTGTTGTGAAAATTGAGCTGTTTTGTTGTGTTGTGTTTTCATGCAACCCTGATTCATGGATTGTGAAGGCCCGGCTTGCCAAGAGACTGACAGTCACAGAATGGACAGACATGATGGTGGCTGCTGACCCAGGTCTTATGAAAGAAGAAAAGTCTCATAGCTAATTCCTCCTGATCTTTGGCTTTCGTGCTTCTAGGGTGGTGATCCACCTTTCAGATGTCTGTTGTTGAAACAATAATATAAAGGGCTCTAAAAAACTCTGCCTTTATCCTGCCAAGGACATGTGCAGGGCTTTACATGTATGAAGCACTGACAAACATTGTGGGTGAGGGCTGATTAAGAACCTGAATTAAATAGAAAAAAAGGAGTAGCCACATAAAAAGGCCAAGCTGTATGAGAAGCACTAGGGACCTGGTTTGTGGATTTAGGAGAATACAGTGGTATGGGCCCCACAGTATTTCAACTTAGGTACAAGTAAACAGGAAGGCAGACATCTTCCAGGCATGATGAGTTCGACTTTATGTCTTTCCAAGTAGTAGGATTTTCTTTCCACAACCCAACCTGTGGGACATTTTCAAGTAATCTATGATCCAGGTGCCATTGGAATCAATGGGAATCTTCCTACTGATTTTAGTTCAGGCACTAAGGGCATTTTTACACGTGCTCTGGAAGGCATGGGAGGGTGCTTTAATTAGCGAGCTGTGCTAATTAAAAGTGCCCGAGCATCACGTGTATCAGCATTTCCACACTAAAAAATGGTGGCAGGGCGCTTTGAACTAAAGCTCATTGAATGAGCTTTAGTTCAAAGTACCCCACTGCCATTTTTCAGCACAGAGATGCCAATGCACATGATGCTAGCGTCTGCTGGAGCTCATTAATTTGAGTCTGCCAGAGCATGGATTTAACGTCTCGATTATTAATCAAGTCTGCTCCAATGCATTGGAGCAGGCTCTCTGCACATGTATAGGAGCCCTAAGAGAGGAGGCACACAAAGGCCTTGAGATGTATTTACAGTCAAGTGAAGAGGACTACATCTAAGGCTGGATTCAGAATGTCTCATTCTGCACATAAGGGATACTTTGCCCACCTACATCCCAAGCAGTGATTCAAAGTCACTTTGTGCCAGCATGCACAACACTCATTATGTGCTCATATGCCTTATACATTTCCATTTTGGAGGGCAAAGTTCCCAAAGTGTCTTTGCTCAGGCCAGTGAGCCTGCTGAGACCTGACCTGAAGCAGCCACTTGCAAGCCTAACTTCCACTTAAGATTTTTCTAGCACTTGCAGGAGGTGCATGAACTCTGCCTGCAGCCTCAGAGAGGACCCAGAAGTTAGGCAGAGTTATTAAAAACCTACATCTAAAATCAACTATAAGGTATTCAGTTCAGATCTAAAATCAACCTCACTGCATTCTAACTACCAGGTTACAGGTGGTGCCCAATACCCTAGTATTTACAGTATTTACCCAAGAAGTAGGGACCTGAGTTCTAGGCCTTCTTTACCCCTAGAGGATTTGAATCCAGTTCCCTAGAGAAGACTAGACTACTAGAAGACCACTAGACTACAGAATAGGATAGATCATTGTTTCTCAACCTGGGTCACAAAAATATACGAAAGGGTCGCAAACAAACTTTAAAAATGGATCAACAAACTTTAAAAATGGATTCTCCTTTCAAGGAGAAAAATGTGGGAAACGGTGGCTTTTCCCCTGCAAGTTGGCAGTTCCAGCCTATGAGGGGCTGTTTGGGGCCTCCCTTGCCCCACACACTGCGGACTGACAGCAGAGGGCAGTGGGTTAGGAGGAGGGGCACTGGGTCAGGACAGGCCATCAATGTTTACAAATGGGTCCTGATACAAAAAAGGTTGAGAACCCCTGGGATAGATGAAGCTGGACCAATAGACAGCCAAGAGTCATGGGGCCAGAAAAACAAGCAAAAGGGAGCCTGCTTGTGTAGCCTAGTGGTTACAGTACTCCCTTGGGAGGAGTAACCCTTGGCTTATATAGCTCCTGTTGCCAGAGACAGGATTCTTATCTGAGATATTCAGGACTAGGTATTTGGGCATTTGGCCTTCCAGTGGTGATTGGATTGAGGCAATGAAAAGTGGGTGTTAACATGAATTTTAATTGTTTTTCCTAGATCTTTCCAAATTGGCTGCAGACTTCATGACTCAGCTAAGCGTGTCAGGTGCACCTCCGCTGGCCAAACCAATCTATTTAAAGCAAGGCCTCAGCTGTTTGGAAGATCTGCAAAAGCGTCTTTTTGCAGGTACAGTGGAGTGAGCATGTTTCAAAAGTTTTTGGAAATTAAGAGAGGCTGGATGATTGGGCAGGGAAGGAAAGGGAAGGGGAGAAGAGACTACTACTATATATTCCA